CCGGGACTGGAGTACCCGAAGGTACTGACGGGCAAGAAGGTCCGAGGTGAGAAAGTCCTCCTCCGAACCTTGCCAATCTTGCAGGAACAGTGGATAAGCTGGCATGCGTTCTGTCTGAGCCCACTGCTCGATGCCACCTCCGTCGGCACAAGGGTCGGCCCCTCCAGCAACCGGCGTGTCTTTGCAGCAGCCGTGGCAAGGGCGCCAGGGAACAGCAAGCAGGAGCACGGTTGCAACCAGAGAAAATAAGAAGCCAACTAAGAAATTAATAGAAAAATCCAGGAATAAGAAACAAATATGAAAATGAACGAGAATAAAAATGAAGATTGAGATTGGAAATGCAACCATAAATCGCTGTTTAAAACCCGGGGAATGCATGGGCGATTGAAAGGTTGGGACACAATACCATTATTAAGGCGCGTTCACGTGACTGACCCAAAAGACCTCCTAAAAGGACTTTTTCAATGTGCTAATATTAGAGATAAACGAGCATATCATTCATGGGGCTTGCGAACTCACAATAATGATATTGTATGACGAAGCGAATTGAATAAGAAAAAGGGCCTCTTTTAGTATTAGTAGTATGATTATTAGCCCGTTACTTCCCCTTACAATCATAACCCCTTGTAATATATTTACAATACAAGGCCCTATGATTATTTGTTTAACAAGGGCCTTTTACTGGTGTCTTATTACCTTCACGCGTCACTTAAGCGAACTTGATTGTAGAATATTGTGAAGGAATGCATGATGTCAATTAAAAGGTTGCAATCTTCAATCTTTAATCTTTAACCTTGAATCTTCAAAGCTGGGACCGATTCAAACTTGAATCGGCCGATTCAGTTTTGAATCGGCCCTCAAACTGAAGATTGAAGATGGACGATTCCCAGGAACTGTAAGAGTAAGACTTTCTGTGAACCTTCAAACTTCAATCTTCAAAACTGGGGCCGAGAATCTTTGATCTTCAGTCTTCCGTTCCACGGCCGATTCAAAACTTAATCGGCCGATTCAATTTTGAATCGGGTCGCGCGGCATCCCTCCATACAAAACATATCATCCAGATAAAAAAGTGTTTTCGACCGTGGCATATATGCACATATCTAAATATATATATATATATAGATAGATAGATATTGAAACGTGTCCTATCACTATGTAGTATGGAAAAGGTATGTATGAAACGGTAGGTTTTAGGAGGGGGCTACTACTATATACATACATGTATATTTACATGTGTGTATACTTGTTTATTTGACAACAAACGTCAGGGTTCTGCCATTCAGCAATGGTGGAAATTCTGAAGCCTCCCTTCAACCCTACTTGGTGGTTCATGGGTACTTGCAACGAAAAAAAACATAGGTAACTCTCATTCTGAATCCCATTAAGGGTACCAAGAACCCGAGTCTAGGGTTAGAGTTTAGGCCCCCAGGGGTCCTAAACCCTAAACCCTAAACCCTAAACCCTAAACCCTAAACCCTAAACCCTAAACCCTAAACCCTAAACCCTAAACCGAAGCACCCAAGCAAACAGCCCTTGCTCCTGTACCAACTCCAAGAGGTGTTCGCACTCGGAGTGGCTGAAGAAGTTTGGCACGACCTCAAGGCTTAGGTTTAGGGTTTCGGGTTGAAGGGTTCTAGGGCTTAAGGGTTGAAGGGTTTTAAAGGTTCTAAGTTCTAGGGTTTAAGGGGTTAAGGGTTTTAGGGTTGAAGGAGTTTAGGGTTCCAGGGTTTAAGGGTTTAAGGGCTTAGGGTTTAAGGGCTTCAGGGTTCTAGGGCTTAGGGTTTAAGGGCTTTAGGGTTCAAGGGCTGAGGGTTTAGAGGGTGGGGTTTAGAGGTTGGTGGGTGGGAGGGAAGGCTTGAAGGTGCTCCCCCCAAGCCCCATACCCCCCTAAACAAACCCTAAACCCTAAACCCTAAACCCTAAACCCTAAACCCTAAACCCTAAACCCTAAACCCTAAACCATCAACGAAACCGTAAACCTTTCCTTGGGCTCTTTACCTTACATAAGCCATATTAGGGGAGCTTGGGGATGCTTGTACTTCTAAGTCGGGTTCTAGGTGCCCTAAAGAAGGTTCGAACCGTTGTGAGCCTACTTATAACCCTACTTACAAGTACCCTGATGAACCTCCAAGTAGCCCTAAACTCTAGACTCTAAACCCTAAACCCTAGGCCCTGAACCCGAAAACCTTGTCATAGGAGAATACCTACCAGGGCCCTAAACCCTAAACCCTAAACCCTAAACCCTAAACCCGTATTCCCACCCTTTTCAACTCTCGGGTTCCCTCTCTTACACTGTTTGGGGTTCCCCTTCGGAAACCCGAACCCCCCTGAGGGTTTAGGATGTCAAGTGTCGGGCAAGTTGCTGGGTTGACGAGTCTCGGGTTGAGAGTCCCTAAGGGCTTTATTTGGGGTTTAGGGTCTGGGGCTTAGGATTCAGGGGCTTGAGGGATTTTATGAGTTTGCGGGGCTTCAGGGTTCAGGGGCTTTAGGAGATTCAGCGCTTTCGAGGCCTTGCGGAGTTTTGGCTTTAGCTATTTTTTGGGGGGACAGAGGATGCAATATCCAGAAGCCCTGCAGCCCGAAGAGGTCTATCCTGATCTGATTCTAACCATCGTTCTCCTGCTTGAAACCCAACTTAACTCAGAAGTACCCCAATGAACCTCCAAGTATTGTAAAGGCGTGTAACACCACCTACCTGGGGTTTAGGGTTTCGGGCCACAGGGCCGGCCACCACGACCTGCCGCACCACCGCACCACCCATCACCACCCATCACGACCCACCACCAACGAACCCTTGGCCGCTACTACCACCACGCTGGCAACCTTTCGCAAAACTTCCCACATCCACCCTGATCACCAAACTTGGGGCAACCCTGCCTAAACCCTAAACCCTGAACCACTGCACTCTGCACTGTATCCTACTTCTACGTCCCAATGAACCTCCAGGTACCAAGAGAACAGCCTGTCCCATTCCACCAGAGGTCGCGGCCACAATTCGGGGATCTTGACACACGACAAACGCTTTCAGCCTCAGCGACCAGAAGGGGTCTGGGATTTAGGGTTCAGGGTTTAGGGTTTTAGGGTTTAGGGTTTAGGGGTTTAGGATTTCGGATTTAGGGTTGAGGGTTCCCAAACCTGAAGGACGGAATCCTGGGAATTTAGCACAAAGATACTTGGAGGTTCATGGGTACCTATCAGCAGAACTTTAACCTTACAAGTACCCACGAACCTTCAAGCACAAAAGGGCCCAGGCTCCTCGAAGCCTACACTATATACCTACCCTAACCCCAAAACCCGAAACACCAAACCTTGGGATGTTCCCCCTCATGTAACAGTCCATAATAGCGATTACAGTATCCCCCTAGCTTGATCCCTATTGAGGACTGCTAGCCTAAGGGGCAACATCTCATCCTAAGCCCTACACCAAAAAACCCTAAACCCTAAACCCTCTTTCGGGAGCGCCATCCGACTTCCGCCAAAACATCCTCACTCCGAGCCCCATTCGGGCCGAAGCCTGGGGGGTTGGGGGGTTATGGGGCTAGGGGTTCGGGCTTAGGAGGGTTTAGGGTTTGGGGTTTAGGGTTTCATGTTTAGGGTTTACACGAGTTTCCCTAAGATCCTGAACCCTTCCCAAAACTTGCAGAACGCTGTTCGAAGACACAGAAGCTCGCATCATCCATTCTAAGCCCAATCACGGCAACTTAAAGTCTTGGTAGCCCAGCAACTAGATTAAAATACTGGTGCCCTGATTTGGGGCTCGTTACGTCTCCCTACACGGGAACCTGGACCTAGAACCCCTCCCCCACCCAAAAAGGAAAAGGCCACCACGGGGCTACCAAGGAGGCCCTGAGACGAAACTGGCCCCAGCATGAAATGAGGCAACCCTGATGCGTTGCTATTTTTCCTAGGGGGCCTTACCCAAAAGGAGGATACGACCAGGGCCAGGTTTTAGGGCTTAGGGTTGCGGGTTTAGGGACCCTGAACCCCAAACCCTAAAACCCAAAACCCAAAACCCTAAACCCCTAACCCTAAGCCCCTGTCCCAACAGAAATGCGTCAGTTGATTGAGGCGGGAGCTGTGCCGGCTGTCCCGGCTGCTCTCCAGTACTGCGCACCTGTCGCCACAAGTCGTCGTAGGGTAGCCCTAAACCCTAAACCCTAAACCCTAAACCCTAAACTCCAAACCCCAAACCCTAAACCCTAACAGCCCCTGAAAACCAGGGACACAACAACGGCATCCCCTGGGCTACTAGTAGCCAGATCGCGAGGTCCCTCTATGGGTTTAGGGTTTAGGGTTTAGGGTTTAGGGTTTAGGGGTAGCATTCAAACCTTTAAACCCTCGACCCTACAAGTCCTAAACCCTACGAACCCTAAACCAAAAACTCAAACTCTGCAAACCCTAACCCGAAACAGTGTATTTGGGTTTTAGGGTGTAAGGGTGTGGTGGTGTAGTGGTGTAAGGGTTAGCGTGTTGGGTTGTTGGGGGGGTTAACTAACAGGGTACAAAGATTTTTGCGCCGGGCTGAATCGTAGTTTTCCTCCTTTGCTTCTTTTGCTTGTGCGGCTTCTTATTTTGGAAAAGGTTCGGAACAACCCCCGGGAGACCAGTCTGCAACCAAGGATAAGGGTCTCCTCGGGTCCTTATTAGAAGGGAGTCCTACTATTTGGGGGGTCTACTTTTCGGGGTCCCCTATTTTCGTGAACCCCCATGTCTGGGTGGGTGATTCATGTATCTCTACAACCCTCCAAAGCCCCTACAAATTCGCGGGTGAGCCGCCCCGGGCATGACCTCAACCCGAGGGGTTATTGGGGTGCAAGGAGGTGTAGGGCTGAAGCCTTGAAACCCGAAACACCAAACTGCGAAGAATCGCACTCCCAAGACCCTAGAGAACCCTGAAATCCTGAAAGCCGAGTTCTGACCCAGACCGCAAAACCTGCCCCGAATTTCGGAAAGCCCCATAAATCTTGGCAGGCGCAGCATGTCAAGTACCGGGGCAGCACTCAGTCTACGTCCAGGCCGGTACATCGCGAGACGGCCAAGACCTGCGGTTTAGGGTTTAGGGTTTAGGGATTAGGGTTTATAGGGTTTAGAGTTTTTGGGGTTTAGGGTTTAGGGTTTAGGGCAGGGTTTGAGGATTGGAGGTTCTTACTTCTTGGTTAGGAGTCTAGGGTTACCCATCTTTTTCGGGTTGGGCGTTGCGGTCAAACCGTAAACCCTAAATCTTACACCCAGGGAGCTATAGGGCTCTAGGAGTCTAGGCGGTAGAGGGTTTAGGGTTTAGGGTTTAGGGTTTAAGTGCTTAGGCCCCCTTGTCCCCTTGACTCCCCTTAGTCCCATAGTTCGGAACTGCTGAGGGTTCAGCTGACTCAACTTGGATCCAGCCCTTATAAACCCTAAACCCTAAAGGGACAGCTCAAGGAGGTGCCTGTTGCATTCGACGTGTGTATATGGGTACTTAAAACCCCATTTGTAAGTCTACCTACTTATAACCTACTTAGAGGACCTCGGACTGACGGGGCTTAGAAGTACAGTTATAATTGGGTTATAAGTACCCTGAACCTTCAAGTATAGAGATAGGGGACCCCAAAAAGGGCCCAGAATTTTAAAATCTCAGGCTAAGGGTGCACAAGCCCGGGTTTAGAGCTTAGGGTTTGGGGCTTAGGGCTTTGGTAAGAACCAGACCCTAAACCCTAAACCCTAAGCCCTAAACCCTAAACCCTAAACCCCCCCCCACATGCGCCTCAAGGAGCTCGGCGTGGATGCGGCCGTTCGTGGCGCAGATCGGCCGCGTGGTGAGCGCAAAAGGCGTCCCCAGGCAGTCGGTCACGGCGCCGCCCGCCTCGCCAGCCGAAGCCCCCAAAAAAAGGCTCTAGCCCCTAAAACCCAAAACCCAAAACCCTAAACCCTAAACCCTAGACCCTGACCCAAAAAACCTCAATCCGAAGTCCGACCACGCACGGATAAAACCGGCAAGTCCTTGCCCCGATTTCCTGATCGCTCTTTAGGGTTTAGGGTTTAGGGTTTGGGGTTTGGGGTTTAGGGTTTAGGGTTTACGCTGCTGTTGCAAACAAAAAATGCAAACTAGGGTTTAGGGTTTAGGTTAAGGGTTTAGGGCTTAGGGTTCCTACCTTGACCCTAAACCCCCTTTACAGAGGAAGCTTACGCAGGTCTGGAGTTCGACTGGTTGGGCCGCCGAAGGAAGGTGCATTCTCGACCCTACTTTGGAGTAGACCCTGGAAAGTATATACCCGAAACCCGAAACTCTACACCCTAAACCCGAAACCCTAAACCCTAAAAACCCTAGACCCTAAACATGTTCTTTGGTTGTAAGTAGCTATAGTAGGAACCCAGAACCAACAAAAACATTAAACGTCTAGTACTCCAATACCTACGTGTCCAGTACCTCTTAGGGTAACTAAAGGTTAACCTTTGGGATTCTCTAAGGGGAGTATATAAACCCGAGAGGGCACCTGCTTAGTTTAGGGTTTGGGGTTTGGGGTTTGGGGTTTGGGGTTTAGGGTTTAGGGTTTAGGGTTTAGGGTTTAGGGCTTGGGGTTTGGGGTTTGGGGTTGAGGGTGGTCTTAGGAGCTTGGGTCTTTTGAGTTTGAGGCTCTGAGTCTCTGAAGGGCTTAGGTCTTCTTGCTGCCCTGCGTGAAAGCACCAGGAGCCTCCTCGACCAGGAGCACTCCGGCAGCGGAATCCCAGCTATTCAAGTCGGCCTGGAAATGGTTCGGGTTTAGGGTTTAGGGTTTAGGGTTTAGGGTTTAGGGTTTAGGGTTTAGGGTTTAGGGTTTAGGGTTGAGGGTTGAGGGTTGAGGGTTTCGGGCTTAGGGTTTAGGGTTTAGGGTTTAGGGTTTAGGTTTAGGGTTTAGGGTTTAGGGTTTAGGGTTTAGGGTTTAGGGTTTCGGGTTTCGGGTTTAGGGTTCAGGGTTCAGGGTCCCTATGAAAAAAACCCGAAGCTTGGGATGTTCTCGCTTATACTAACAGTCGACTATAAGGGAGTCTAAGGGAGGATGTTGCCATACCCCTTAATTTAAAGGATAATATGAGGGAGTCTGAGGGAGGATTTTTACCATGCCTTTGAACCGTAGTTAACCCCTAAACCCTAAACCCTAGACCCTAGACCCTAGACCCTAAACTCTAAACCCTAAACCCTAAACCCTAAACCCTGAACCCCAGCCAGGCAGGCCTCGAACCAGGCGTCGAGGCGGCCGCAAGCCAGCCATGCGAAGTTGATGGCAGCGGATCCCAGGATGCGAATAGTCCTCTTCCACTTGGAGGTTTAGGGTTTAGGGTTTAGGGTTTAGGGTTTTAGGGTTTTAGGGTTTTAGGGTTTTAGGGTTTCCCTGTAGGTTGGCCAGGAATCTACGTATTGACAAGGGGTGCTTGAAGGGGTTCATAAGGGGAGCTTAACCCCCTTAAAGGGGAACAAGTGTACGCATTTTTCTTAGGAGTTGATGGCAGGAGTTCGGGGTTTCGAGGTTTACGGTTCCTTGTGTGTTTTGTAGAGTTCGGTTACAGAGATCAGGGTTCAGGGTCAGCCCAAACTTCACCATAAGCTTCGAAATGGTCAGCTCGTTTCCTTGCACACGGCTGCAGGGTGGTAGGGATGATAGCCATTGAGCAGCTATTGGCATGTTTGTTTGCTGGAAACGGCCTCACCTTCACCACTTCATCTGGACTCCTGTTCTAGACTCAGGATTGCACACGCCATGAAACATACTTGGAGGTTCAGGGTACTTCTAACCCCAATTATAACCTTACTTATAAATCTCCCAAGTCCTCTAAGAAGGTTATAAGTAGAGTTATAACTGGGGTTAGAAGTACCCATGAACCTCCAAGTAGAGTCGGCATAGCCATACAAACGCTCACGTCCATTGGACTGACTTTTGATTGGATTGGGGTTGGAGGCTCAGGAACTTTGGGGGGTTCAGTGACCGTGGAACAGTTGACTGTGGGTTTAGGTTTTAGGGATTAGGGAGGTTGCTTGAAAAGCTTTCACATCTCAACAGTCTCCCATGTGAGAGGACTCTGCCACTGCAAGTGACCCCCAATCTCAAAGCCTGAGATATTAAACACTTTAGGGTTTAGGGTTTAGGGTTTAGGGTTTAGAGTTTAGGATTTAGGGTACACATGGGTTGAGCCCTTCGGCCCTAAATGCCCTACCCCCTTCGTTGAAGCAGCGTCCTGGTCTTCGGAGGCGCCAGTAAGGTCATTGCACGAAAGCCTCACGAGTCTGCGAAAGCTGCTATAAGAAGGGTGTAGGGTTTAGGGTTTCGAGTTTTGGGTTTAGGGTTTAGCGTTTAGGGCTCAGGGCTTAGGATTTAGGGAGCTTCTGAACCCTACTTGAAGGTTCACGGGTGCTGGTAAGAAGGGGTTATAGGTACCCTAAATAAACTTGGAGCCATGGTTGCCCTACTGATAACCCTACTGAAACGTACCCGAAAGAACCTCCAAGACAACTTTGTTCTTTTCTTTTCTGTCACGGTTTAGGGTTTAGGGTTTAGGGTTTAGGGTTTAGGGTTTAGGGTTTAGGGTTTAGGGTTTAGGGTTTAGGGTTTAGGGTTTAGGGTTTAGGGTTTAGTGTTTAGGGTTTAGGGTTTAGGGTTGGTGTCTTGTCCCGGCAGCCTAAGTGCAAATGGAGGTTTCGGGCTTTGGTGATTTACACTTGTAGGATGGAGGTTAGGGTTTAGGGTTTAGGGTTTAGGGTTTGGGGTTTGGGGTTTTTGGCGGACAGGCTCGGGCAAGTCAGCGCGCGATAAATTCGCATGCAAGTCTGGTCTGTGAATGACCTACAGAGCCAAAAGGCTGAAAAGGAGATCGGGCGAGTGTCAGCTATACAGTCTACTTCAGCCCTGATCTTCAAGGGGGGGGGAAAGAGTGGCCCACCATGGCCTCGGGCCTATGGCGGCTGCAGCCGGACGCCAAGCTGTGTCAACCCGGCCAATAGCTTCGGGTGTCAGGTCCGATGCCGCGTAAACTGCTCTACATCCCCCTTGTCTACGCAGGTGCTCAGCTAGGCGAGCTCCCGACCAAAATTCTGTGCGACAAACTTCGCAACAAGTCCCAAAGGTGACACTACGGCCCGCCGATGGGATCTTGTGTACGCTGGCCTTGTGCACAGCGAGTCTTCTTTTAGATAGGAAACTCCTATGGCAGAAGTCACACGCAAAAGAAAGCGACTTCGCACATGCACCAACAATCTGTACAGAAGCTTCAGTGCCAACTCGCGCATCGATGTCTTCCCAGGAAACTGGAGGGCGGTTCCCGCTGCAGCTCTTCAGGTAGTAGCGGCAGGCGTTGCGCAGGAGCGGGCGCTGTCCCCGAAGCAGGGTTGCCAAGTCTTCTATCAGCAGCTTCGGCCGGTCCTTGAGCTTTTGCTGGAGGGGTGCGTAAGTCTTGCCAACGGCGTCGAGCGACTGCACCGCGGATCGAAGCCAGATCCCATCAGCTGTCAGTCCCGGCCAGGCAGCCTCCATTCCAGCGTCAGTCACCTCTCCCAGAGCTCTAACCCTGGCTGCGTGGAGGAGCTCTGCCGGGCTAGCCAAGCGAAGCGCTGCCAGGACTTCCTCATTCGTCATCCGCTCCGAGCTCCTTTGGAAGAAAGGTCGTATGCACCCCCTAAAAACACGCATTAGGGGAGCCTGGGCCTTTGCCGCTTCTTGCTTGGTGGCCAAACGCCACAAGCCGGCTCCATGCAGAAACGGGGCACGAGCCTTAACATCACAAGCTCACGCTTCTCATCGAAAGTGAGGAAGGGGTTGTGCAGGATGCGCGAGCGGTATGTGTGGAAGGACTGCATGAGTAGCCCCTCTCTGTGCTTGATATTGGCCAACTCGCTACAGTCAGCCATCACAATGCTGCCCAGGTGCGTGTAATCCCGCACAACTCGCAATGCCCCCTGCGTGTTTCCGGGCAGCTCGACTTGCACCGCCGGCACGGCTTGACAGAGCATGTCCTGCTTGGCTGATTTGGAACCGGCGCCGCGTAGGGAGATGATGGCCTCAGTCTTCCCTGGTCCCAAGTTTGCCTCCAGTCCAAGTGAGGAAAGCCCGAAGATTGCAATTTTGCCAATGCATGAGAGGGCATGGCCGGCTTGTTTCGCGTCCGGTGCACAGAACAATATGGCGACATCATCCGCCCAGGTGGGCGCCTCGGCGCAGCTATCCGGCGGGATGTTCTGCACAAAGTGAGGTGAAAGGCCCAGGGCTCGCATCTCTTCCTGGAGGTCGCCGAGGAAGCGGCTGAAGAGAAAGGCAAAAATGGTGTCTGCCACCGGCGCCCCCGGAGCAGAGCCAGATGCTGTCTCATACAGCGTGGTTCCCGGATTGCCGTCGGCGAACCAGGTGTGACGGAGGTGCGCCGCAAGGAGACGCTGCAGCTCGAGTGGCAGTGCAAGTGCCTTTGACCAGTTGCCCGCCGTCATTTCTTCAATGAACGTCAGCTGGTCTTGTCGGTGCACGAACAGGAGCTGAGCACGCTCCTGAAGCCGTGCGGGGTCCCATTGGCACTGGGGGTCCTTGACAAGCAGGTCTCGCACCACAGAGTAGTACGCGTCCTTGCAGTCCAGGAACAAGACCCCGCCGCTATAGCCTTTGGTCCGCAGCCAAAGTAGGTGTCCTCGGACAAGGGCCGAGGGCTGGGAGAGCGTGTGCTTGGGAAGCCCCCCAACTTGGCCGACAGTGCGCACATGCTCGAGCCGTTCGATGAGCTTGGGCCTGAGGGCTTTTTGGTAAGCCTTTGCATCAGACTCGAGGAGAAGGATGGACCTCCAACCCCCCAGGGTAGTGGCGTCTTTGTTGGGTTTGGGGATGGAGTGGACGTTTCCCCCACACCACTGGAGCGGATTCATGCCCCGTGCCGCAATTTTCATTGCGATCGGCAGGAAGAGTGCCCCCGCGCGGAATGGGTCAGCCTGGTATATCTCTGCGGGCAAGCCTGACCGCCCACTGGCTCGTCCGCCCTGCAGAGATTTGAAGCCACGCACCAAGTCCGCAAAGGTAGGGCACTCCTGTGCGTCGACTGCCGCCGTGAGGGGCTCAACGGTCTGTGCTTTTTTGCGCAGGGCACCTTCGGGGATAGGCCGAGCTCTTTCTGGCTTCGCAAAATGCCTGCCAAGTTGTTGCATGACCTGTGTAGCTCCGACCGCTGGGCCATCTGCGGTATGGAGCAGGGGAACGACGTGCGGTGTTTTGAAGCGTCTCCCCTGCCGCGTAACTGCCCTGACCATGTGCGCAAAGGCAGCTGGCCCGGAGGCACGGGCTTGGGCAGTTTGCTCCCGCAAGAATTGGGCTTTGTCGGACTGGAAGCATGCAGTAACCCTTTTGTTGAGCCGGTGCAGTTCAACCACGTTGTCGGCCACACGAGCCGAGATGCGGAGGAACTGACTCAGTGGCGGTCGCTGGCTCCGCCATGCACGGAAGACACAGGGCAAGAAGGCCTTGCGCTCCTGATTGCTCAGGGCGCGCAGCCGCTGGCGCTGTAGGCGGCGCCGTCTGACTTCCTCTAGCGTAGCTGCGGTGAGGGCAGGGTGGCGTGGTGGCACAGGCGCAGGAGGAAGGTGCTTGGTCACAAAAGTGTGAAGGTGTGCGTGGACAGCTTCGACATGGCTGGTGGCGTCCACTTCCCACCCTGGCGTGGGCGCGGTGAGCAGGGCCCTGCGCAATACGGATTGCCCGTACTGTGTCTTGATGGCCCTGCTGCAAATTCGGGGGCGCTGTTCCCGTCTTGCACCGTCAATGCGGGCTCTCAGCGTGGCCGCTACAGGGTAGTGGTCCACCCCGGAGTGCAGATCTTGTAGATCAGGGGTGTCGTCCGTTCTCACTGCTGAGGCAAATCCCGCGTCGTACATGATGTAGTCAATCAGGCCAAGCCGCCCTTTTGGGCTCTTCCATGACGCGATGCGCTTCCCAGTATGAGAGAACTGGTGCGTGGCTTCTAGCTTAAATTCTCGGGCAATTGCCAGCATTGCACGCGCGTTGGGGCAGCGTGGTGCTGAGCAAGTAGTCGCAGGGGTATTGCTGTTCGCCTCAAAGCGTGCATTGGCGTCCACAAAGATGAGGGGGATACATCCCCTGGGATCTGTGCGAATGCCCTGTGCGAGCCTGCGCCACCAATGCATGCGCGTGTGTTCGGCAGCAGACGCTATGGGAGCGTGGCCGCTGATAAGGCAAAACTTGGCCCCCCCGGCGTGTGCAAGGACAATCAGTAGCTGTGGCTCAGCGCAGAGGATCGAGAAGGACCTCCTCTCCCAGTAAAATGGTTGCCCGGATTCCATGGAGTGGCCCACGGGCTTTTCGCGATGCAACCAGATCTGGCATCCCCCGACGCCTTCGGCAGTAGCCGGAGAGCTCAGAACCCAGTATGACCCCGGTGTACTGATGCCATCGTCGGCAGTGCGCGTCTCTTGCAGTCCCGCAACATCACAGCCGATCTGTGCAAGTGCTGACGCCATGATTTCTTTGGCGGCTTGGCCTTTGATTGAAAGGCAGTTATATTGCACCAGGGACACATGTAGCTCCTGCACCGTGTTTTCAGCTGCTGCCTCAGGTGCAAAGTAAGTGCCAGGCGGTAGCGGAACAGGCGGCATCTGGCATGCAGCCTTTGACCATGTTCCTTTTGCATCGAGCGTAGGCACATGGGCTGAATTGGGCTGGCCGTAGCAAGTCCAGGCCCAGTCCATGACACCTTCGGCTACACCTTGCCAGAAGCTGCTGGGCGAGAAGGCCAGAGCCGGCATTGCAGATCCTAGTGCGGCGGACTTGGCAACTGCGTCAGCAAGCTCGTTAAAGGCACACCCCGTGTGTGCATCAGCTTTGAGTGGCAAAAGTTGCTGGCCTTTCGCAGAGCTAGCTCCGCGCAGGCTGACTGCTGTAGCGGCGACAGCGTCCTCTGGGCTGAAACAAGCATTTCCAAAGACAAGGTCGAGTGCGGCGCTGCAATCCGACGCAATCACCCCGAAGGCGGCGGCTTGGTTCAGGAAAAGGGCCTGAGCGTGAACAATTGCTCGTACCTCTCCCTCATATGCGGACGTAGCATGGGGTACAACACCGCCTACCCACCCAAGGCCAACAGGGTGGTCGTTTTGCAGGCCCAGAACAACAACAGACCAACCCCCAGCTTGCCGATCTGCGTAGAAGGAGCCATCGGTGTAGAAGTAGCAGGCCTGCAAGGGCTGGTCTTTGCGGTACGGTGGCAGCGCTTTCCAGCCAACCCGGGCGACTGGAA